TGACACTGCTCTTCCATTTTGAAGGCAGGAGCTAAGTAGATGGCAAGCTGATTTCTTTTGCTGGATAAGGTGATATAACAGGGTCTACAGGCAAAAGATAGCCAGTTCTGCTATGCATGGAGGGGTAGGCCATGAGACCAGAAGCTGGACTTGATTTTCTTGAAAAATCTTATTTTATCTTATTCAAGTAGATGAAAAGAACAGACTGATAAGATCAGATTTCTACATACAATGATTTGGTGTTTTAAATAATTTAAATTTATGAGTCTATTTAGAAAGCTATAGTAGACTTGAATCCAAATTGTCAGTGGTTATGAATTAAGTTCCTTATATTGACAGAATAATGGAACTTTAAATAAAAGACAGATTATGAAAAGTGAGCAGCCTATAAGGAAAAACAGCAACTCATACAGGAAGTCACAGACATAGTTAATTCACTTAGGAAAAACTCTATTTCAATAAGATGATGATAACCTGAGATATACATGTCAAAATCATAATGAAATAATCTATTTTTACCTACCAAATTGGCAACAATTCAACAGAGGTAACAGCAATAGCAAAGGTGGGACCTCGAGCTCACATGAGCTTTGCTGCAGAGCAACATGGCAGCATCTGCCTACTTGAAAATGCTCGGACTTGTTTACCACACATCATTTCATTTTCAGGACCTCCTATTGAGGAACTTGAGGAAGAGGGTGTGAAACAAGGCACTAGAGCCACACACAGTTTGTAAATAGCCACTTGTTGGAAACAGTTGTTCTTTTCTGAAAAGCTAAAATAATACAGTGGATTATTTTCTGGTAATTTTTTAATGAACAAATAAAAGTGTTAAAAAACCCTATTATTTGTTATTTGAGAATTCAGTTCCCATATTTCATGTCTTTTCTACCATAGAAGTTCAGTTTATGTATGGAAACTTTCAAGAATGTATTCCTCGTAAAGATGTTATACCTGAAGAGTGAGGGTACTACACACAATGAGACTATATTTTAAGACTGTTCACAGACTCATTGTGAAGGGTTACTATCCCCTTTTATTACAGAATACTTTGTAATCAATATGCATTTATTTCATTCTGCCACTTATACATCACTAATAATTATGATTTTAATACTTTCTCATTCATTTTAATTAATTTTTTTCTTATTTTACATGTCGATCCCAGTTCCCCTTCCCTCCCTCCCTCTCTTCCTCTTACCCTCTCTGCCCCATCACATGCACCCTGACCACCCTTCCCTTCCATCCCTCCACTCTGATTCCACATGTAGGGCAATGCCATCGAGGTGGGGTCATGTAAATCTGTCAAATCATTTGAAGTAGGGACTAGGACTTCTCTCCTGTCTCTACGTTAAGGCAGTATCCCTCCATGGGGATGTGTCTTCAAGGTCCTTTTGTGCACAAGGACTACATCCTGTTTCCACTGTCAGAGGTCCCTTAGACTGCTCGGTCCTTCTAGCTGACTCGGGGGGGGGGGGCCCTGAGTCAGTCCCATGCTGGTTTCCCAGCTATCAGTCAGGTGGCCCATTAGCTCCTCCTTGTTCAGGTTCTCGTTCATTTTAATTTCCAAAAGACAACTCATTAACAAACATTGCCTTAGTTAGGGTTTCTATTGCTAGATTAAAACACCAGGACTTAAAGCAACTTGGGGAGGAAAGGCTTTATTTTGCTTATACTTCCAGGTAACAGACCATCACTCAGGGCAGTGAGGGCAGTACCACGTGACAGGACTATGGAAGCAGGAGCTGATGCAGAGGGCATGGAGGAGTGCTACTTACTGACTTGTTCCCCATGGCTTGCTCAACCTGCTTTCTTATAAGCACTGGGACCACCAGCCCAGGATGTCACCACCCACCACGTGCTGGGCCATCCCCAAATACTAATGAAGAAAATGCCTTACAGGCTTGCCTACAGCCCATTTTATGGAAGCATTTTCTCAGTTGAGGCTACCTTCTCTTGGATGACCCTACCTTGTTTTAAGTTGATATAAAGGCTACCCAGGACAAACTTTCTTTTTTTAAACAGTATTTTCACCCCTGGCCCCAGCACTGAGGACTGAACTCAGCACTCTGTCACATTTGGAAAGCCATATGCCACTGAGCCATTCCCAATAAAAATGGCCACCATAGGCCCATAGGAAGTGGCACTTTTAGGTGTGGCTTTGTTGGAAGTGGCGTGTTGTAGGGGTGGGCTTTGAGGTCTCAGATGATGTGTAAGAGAGGCCCAGTGTGGCCTTCACTTCCTGGCCTACAGATCCAGATATAGAGCTCTCAACCTCTCTCTCCAGCACCAGTCTGCCTGTACTCTGTTTTGCTTCCTGCTATGATAATGGACTAAACCTCCGAACTGTAAGTCAGCCTCAATTAAATGTTTTCCTTTATAAGAGTTGTATGTTCACGGTGTCTCTTCACACATAGCAATAGAAACACCAAGACACCCATCAACAGATAGATTATTTAACTAAAAAATCAAATTCCTATGAATTCTTTCATTATGAAATTTACATGACATATTTTGCTGCTTGTATAAAAATTCAACAATTTTTAAGAACTCATCTCAAAGCAAAATCATTATTATTTAAGGAAATCTAATACTACTTTGCTAGATAAGCCTTTCCTCACAAAAGAATTTTGAGAATGGAGAAGGACTGCGAGAAAAGTGACAGCAAGTGAACCAGTAACTAAAGGATTTCCATTTTTAACCTGAGTTAAGACTGACTTTTATTGCAATACACTCAGAACCTTTCCTGGAGGCTTTCTATAATTTAGCAGACCAGACAAGCTACACTAGAAAACTGCTGTTTCATCAATGCCTTGATTTTGAGCCACATGCACATGCAAGAACCAAGCACGTTGGCCATACAAAAAATTTTACCAGAACGGGAATCTCTTCCTTTATTTTAAAAGGGTAAGATGCAGAGCATACTTACTTGGTACTCCACTTCCCTCAACATTGCAAATTACATGTTAACAGTAACATGGACTATTAGGATTCATAGTCAACAAACAACTAACATATAGTTATGAAATCTTATTTCCTGCCTCAAATAAAATTCAAGTGTTTCATCATAGAATACTTTTTTTTTTTTTTTTTTTTTTTGGTAAACAATATTGTTCCTATTAGTGTGTGTGTTGCATGTGCCATGGCAAACATGGTAGGTCAGAGGGGAATTTCTAGGAGTCAGTTCTCTTCCTCTCCCACGTGGGTCTCAGGGATTGAACTCAGGTCATTAGACTTGGCTGCAGGTGCCTTTAATTAGGTGCTTTTCTGCCAGCCAAGGAACACTCTTTTTAGTTTTTGAGATAGTTTGTGTAGCCCAGGCTGGCCTGGAACTTGTGCTCTTCCTGCCTTGGCTCTGCGTGCTAGGGTTATAAGCAAACATTAGCATACTTGACTACATGATATTTTTTAAAATTAGACATTTACTGTTAGCAGTCACCAGGCCTGATTTAATAATTTGCGTTTAGTTTCTTGATTTACAATGTTATTGAAAATTTGGATTATGAGTCTTTGATTGCCCAAAGAATAAACACTTTTAATCATTTATTTTGCCTGTCTCAGTTATACTTCAGGCAACTAAAGAGATGATGGCAGCAGTTCTTTTTACTAACAGACAATTCCAGCTAATACTGGGTGAGAGGGGTGAAAGCCATCGTGCCACTCCAACTAAAACAACGGCTTTGACAATGACCATCACACTTCCTGGAACCATGACAGGCAGGAGCAGGTGGGGCTGGCAGGCAGAGAATAAATAGAAGGGAAAATGAACAGGAGCAGCAAGAGAACAAGGAGAGGAGGACATCAGAGGCAGCCACTAGCCAGTCACAGAGTATGGAGGAAAGTAAGATTTACAGAGGAGAAAGATAAAAGCCCAAGGGGAAAAAGGTAGATGGGTTAATTTAAGGTAAGTAAATCTGGCTAAAAACAAGCCAAGCTAAGGCCAGACAGTCATAGCTAAGAATAAGCCTCCATGTGTGATTCATTTGGGAGCTGGGTGGCAGGCCCCCCAAAAGAGATATTTCTACAGAGATATGTCTGTAAACTGGTAGCATTTCTTTGCCTAGTATTCTGTTTAGCACCATAGTGGATAAAAAATAAAAATAAATTAGGAGTGTATAGAGATATTGTGAATTATGACTACATACTTACTATTAAATTATTATTATAAAACATTTTCATTTGAACACCAGGATCCAGGCTCTCTTTTAGCCTCTTTGGGTACTAGCATGCATGTGGTTCATGACAGACATGTAGGCAAAACTATTATACATACTAAATAAAAACAAGCCTTTAAAAACTCATATTTTTTTTCATGTAGAAATACATATTGAAGTATTAACAAATGAAATGATAATTTGTGATTTTTATCTTTAAAGTTTTCAGGGGTGAAGGCACATGTAGGTAGTATACAGATAAAAAATTAGCCACATATATATGTGTATATATATATATATATTTTATAATTCTTAAAGCTAGGTAATGGGTAAATATGTGCATATTACAGTATTCTATGTTTAAAATTTCCCACAATAAAGAATTTTCAGGCCTGAGGAAGTATCCCAGTGGTAAAGCACCAGCCAGCAAGAGTTCCACAGTCAACATCAGTTCTTAAGTCCCCCCTTCAGTATACAAGCTTACAAGCTAAAGGACTTTTCAATCACCATTTTATGTTATTTATTAGTAAAAAGTTTAAATGTAAAGGGAAGGATATATCGTACAACAGATGTCCAAATTATCAAAAATTCCTAAACAGTGGATAATTCAAATTACAATGTACTTAACATGCAACAAAAGCTGTACAAAATAAGGTTGTATTTATCAGACAAAACATTCCCTCACATTTCCAGTATATTAACCTTTTGCTACTTATTTTACATTGTAACTGTTTAAAGGCTTGATTTATAGCATAATGGAGTTAAAAAAATGATTTCCAAGGGGATAAAAATCCCACCATTCTTAGGCACATCAAAACAAACATTTCATTTTTGTGTGTAACTCACCTGCTGTAAAATCTTCAGTCAGATCAATAAATGCATGAGAATGTGGGTTCCTCATTTTACTTTTAGTGCTCAAGGCGGGATGCCAAGATAAATTTCTAAAATATAAGACAATAATTTTCTTAGGGCAAGATCAAGTATTGTACTAAAGTATAAAAATATTGGTACATGATCATTTAGAGCTTTTTATTATTACATAATTCACATACTATAAACCACACATTTTTAATATATATATATAATCCAATAGGTTTTAGTGTCTTCACAGTATAGAATCATTGCTTCACTCAAAGTCCAAAACATTTTCATTTGAAAAGAAATTTTTGATGCACTAGTCACTCCCCATTTCCTTCCTTTGGCAACCGTTAATTTGGCACCATAACATTTTCTAGCCCAGGACACTTCATCTAAATGCACACACAACCCATGGCACTTTCTATGCACTCTCTCAGTACATTTTCAAGTTCATTTACACCACATATCACAACTACATTCTTAATGTGGCTGTGCTGGCATCTGAGAGGCAGAGACAGGCACATTTCTGTGAGTTCAAGGCCAGCCTGTTTGTTTACATAGTATCAGGAAAGTGAGGGTTATTCAGTTGGACCCTGTCTCAAAAAAAAATAAAAAAAAAAAAAAACCCAAAAAACCCAAAACAAAAACAAAAGATAAACTCTCTCATATCTCTTTCCTCCCCCACCCCTCTCTCAAACAGGGTTTCTCTGTGTACCCTTGGCCTTCCTGGAACTTACTCTGAAGACCAAGATGGCTTAGAACTGGGAGATTCACCTGCCTCTGCTCCTGAGTGCTGGGACTAAAAGCGTGTGGTACGACTGCCTGATTAAACTGCCTGGTTAACCCTGCATTCATTTTTATGGTAGATTTAATATTCTATTGTATGGATACACATTTTGTTTACTCAGTCATCTGTTGATGGGATAGCGGATTGCTTCTACTTTTGCTAAGAACATTCATTTACAAGTTTTTTAGGGATGACTATTTTCAACTGGAGTGAATTACTGGGTAATAAGGTTTACTTGTTGAGGAACTATGCAAACTATTTTCTAAGGTGGCTTTATCATCTTGTATTTCCACCAGCATGGAAGGAGTGTTTCAATACTGCCATATGTCTGAAAAATTGCTCTCTACACCAGAAGCGTTACTTTGTGTTTTATTCATGGCTAATGAGCTCAAGCCTGTTCACATATGTTTCTCAGCCACTTATAGTTCTTCACTGGGGAAATAACTGTTCACATCCTCTACTGACATTTAAATTGATTCATAAGAGTTCTTTGGATGTTAGATATTAGACATCACTGTTTTTGTCTCAGGGCTATCTTTCAGTTTATTGATGATGATCTCAGAAAACCAGTTTTTAGTTCTGATGAATCCCATTCCATTTGTTTTTCTTTTTGTTACTTATTCTTTTGGTACTATATAAGGTCATAAAGATTTACATGTTTTCGTTTAAAAGATTTATAGTTTTAGCCTTTGATTCTTTTGTAAAATAAGAAAGCAAATAATTTTATTTCACAAAAATGGTTTAAAGAATGATGATTATTTAGAGCATAAGAGAACACATTTGAAGCCTATTTCACAAATATTAAGTCAAAATATACCCAAAAGCTAAAAATATAAAATTCTTAGAAGTAAATGCAAAGAAAAAACTGATGTCTTTGGAAAAAAAATTTTTCCCCTGAGATCATCAATGTATTCAAGGAACCTAGATCTCATGGAGATCTACCTGTCCCTGCCTCTCTAGTGCAGGGATTAAAGATATGTGACTTCATGCCCTTGGCAAGCTGTTCATAAATCTTGTCTCCCCCTCCATCACCACAGGACACAAGCAAACAGATGAGGGCTGGAGAGATGACTTAGTAGTTAAGAACAATTATTCTTGCAGAGGACTGGAGTTTGATTTCCAGCACCCACCTGGCAGTTCCACAACCATACCTAACTACAGTTCCAGGGAATTCAATACCCTCTTCTGGCTTCATCAAGTACTAGGCATGCATATGGTTCACAGACATATAGTTAATAAATATTTAATAGCAAACAAACAAACTGTACCATTAGAAATGAAAGAAAAATCCTTGATGCATCAAAGGACTATGTGCTGGTGAGTTTTTATGTCAACTTCACACATGCTAGAATTACACGAGATGATAAAAACTGGTGCCCTAGGGGCTATAAGAAAGCAGGCTGAGCATGTTCCTTCATGGCTTCTGCTTCAGTTCCTGCCCTGACTTCCCTGAACGATGGATTACATGCTGTAAGATGAATTAGACCCTTTCCTCCTCCAGTTGCTTTTGGTTATGGCATTTACCACAGCAATAGAAAAGTAACTAAGACAGGAAATTATTACTAGAAGTGGGGTATTGCTATGACAGACCTGACCATGTTTGGGAATGATTATAGAAGAGCTCTAAGCCAGAAAAGTCACTGAGTGTTTGGAGCTTAACAAGTTGTTGTGGGAACTTAGATATAATTTTGAGAGAGGTACAGATGATGGAGGCCCAGTCTGTAAAGTTTCAAAATCCTAGCAATACTGTGATAGTATCATGGTGATTCATGTAGTAGTTTGAATTAAGAACCCACTAAAGTGAATCCTTTGCTTTTCTGGGATAATTGATACTGGTAGGTGGGGGCTAAAGAATTAGCTGTGACTAAGAAGATAGCAACATCATTGAGGCAAAATCTGGGAGGTTTCTTCAGGGTTACACAAAGAAGCTATGATCCAGAAAGGGCTAAGACTATATCTTATGCTGGCTGTCAAGCTTAGTAATATGTTAAGAGTTTCCCAGGTGGTACTGGTTTTGAAGGCATGCAGGGGTCAAGTACAGCAGCAGAGGCTTGTACTGTGAAAGACTAGGAGAGGCCAGGGGTGGAGAATATACAGTCATAATTGATGTAGAAGTGCAGGGATTGAAGGAGTCATGGAGAGAGGTTGAGGATTAGGACCATACGGCAGTAGAGTCCCAGAAGAGAGCCTAGGAGAGGTGTTGGTGATGGTACATCCTAGCTACATTGAAGACCTCAGCATTTTGGAGTTGCCAGGACCTTGGTATGACTGCCAAGAATAGCAGCAGTTGTGGAGTGGAGCTGGCCTGAGCCTCTGACATGTGCTGTGGAGATTGTAAACTGCTTTCAGTATTAATTAGGGAAGCTTCTCTTTGCAATGAATGCTCAAGGTGCTAAAAATAATGCTGTCCACACAAAACTTAACTTGCCCATGGCCAGTCATAGATGGGGGGAGGGGCTCTTGGAACCCACTTCCCTGCTGGACTACTGGCTGTTGATGGATTCTGAGAGAGAGGGAGTCACTGTCGTGAGATATGTAGTTACTGGTGAGTCCACCAGGCACTAAGGTTCTATTTGGGGCTGATTTTGATATTTTTCGAAAGCAAAAAGATACAACAAACTAATTTATTCTTAGAAGGTTGAATGTGGGAAAAGAATGAGTACTTGTTATCCAGGCACTGGTGGCACATGCCTTTAATCTCAGCATTCAGGAGTTGGAGGCAGGTGGATCTCTGTGAGTTCAAGATCAACCTCGTCTATAAGAGCTAGTTCCAGGACAGCCTCTAAAGCTACAGAGAAACCCTGACTCGAAAAGCAAAAACAACAAAACAAACAAAAAAAGAATGAGTACTTGTCAAATAAAAAATTTCTATCCCTAAAGCAAGAAACAGCAGCTTCTTCTTTATAACTTTTGTTCACATTCATTTTAGCACACACACTTTCTTTTAAGTTACACTACAGAGTAAAATCTAAGTCAAACAGCATACAGACTAGCTTTGGTTGAATTAAAAGCAGATGTCATGGCACTGACTTCAATAAGTTGATCATGTAACTGTGCTTTGAGTAGTTACAGGCTTCTAGTTTATTTGAAGTAAGTTATAGCTTAAATATTTCAACAATTTAACTTGTGACATTTTGTCCTGGGGCTTACTTAACTAACTGAACATTTAACTTTATTATTTACAGTAAGAAAAGGTCACAGAGTGACAGACTTTGACTGAAATTCAGCACAGATGTGTGTTTGATCCATAGCTCCTAAAATGTGCTGTGTTTTCACTGCTGTAATAAATAATAAAACTACGTCACACCCCCCCCCCAACATATCAGATTCCACACAAAGATCTGGATGTCTACCTTCTTGTGGAATATAAGGAAGTTGGGTGGCCAGTGACTCTTGTTAGATGGAGCTGCTGTTTCGGGCAGCCAGAGTCCCAATCCTGACAAACCAATCACTTCCTCTGCTTCCCTCTGAGTCTCTCCTGATATCTGAATGTGAAACTCCAGAAAGCACCAATTATACTCTAGCTTTCTTTAATGCTTCATGTCAACATTCAATGTTTTCACAGTGCTTTAAGTGTTTTCCTTGTCTATACTCTGCTGTTTTTATGTGGGTATCACTTAAAAGACAGTAGCTAATTAACTCTTAGAGTTTACTTTACATGAAATGTCCATTTACCATGCTAAGAACTGATGAAGGAGGGAAGACAAGGAAGAACTGCTGTTTATTTTGACAGTGCATTTAGGATGGTCCAATAATAGCTAAATTACTTAAAATCTATAGTTGATAAATAAGTTTACTTCTCTTAAGTGATGAGCAAAGGGGTCCCACAGAACCAGCTTAACGAACATGGGGGAGCTTATGGACCCCAGTCTGATAGCTGGGAAGCCAGCATAGGACTGACCTAGATTCCCTGAATATGGGTTTAGTTAGGAAGACTGGGCAGTCTATGGGGCCTCTGGTAGTAGATCGGTATTTATCCCTAGTATATGAAAGGACTTTGGGAGCTCATTCCACATAGAAGGATACTTTCTCAGCCTAGACACATGGGGGATGGCCTAGGCCCTGTCCCAAATGATATGACAGACTTTGAAGATTCCCATGGACTCACCCTCTCTGAGGAACAGAAAGGGGATGGGATGGGGGTTGGAGGGACAGGGAAGGAGGGAAGGGTGAGGGAACTGGGATTGACATCTAAAACAAGCTTGTTTCTAATTTACATAAAATAGCATAAAAAATAAAATTTACTTCTATCATCTTTGAAATTTCTCTATGTGCACATCATAGCCTTTCAGAAAT